ACCAGTCAGGGTTGAATTTTGCTGAAATTTTACATTACCGGCAGTCTTCACGTGCTGGCAAATCTCGCTTGCGTGACGGCGCATGCGAGAAACCGCACGTGTAGACCGCAAAAAGTACGAAGCATGCTTTTTCTCGCATACCGATCGGTTGCTCGCTTGCTTTCAACTGTCATTTTTGTTGTTTGACAGCAACATCGTTTATTTTGGAGGCAAATACAAATTTAGGGGCAGCCATTTTTCATTTGAAAATAGTATACATCTCTTTATGCAGATTTTCAAATTTTCTCAAACTGTTAAGAGCCTGCAAGGCTTGAACCTTCTTGTTTGGCGACATTCTACAAATGAAAAAGTATGCTGTCAAATGCCCAGTCAACAAAACTATCACGCTTGCGAGAGAAAAAAGCAGAACGCCAGCGAGATTTGCAAGCATCTGAAGACGGCCGGTTAGGCAAAGAACATAGCAAGGCGAATTTATACAAGGTGGTAGCAAGAATACAACAAACAACAACCACATGTATTTTGTATCAGGGGCAAAATGTCAATTCTCAATTCGCCTCAAAGTTTACATGTATTTTGTTGTTGCTATTCAGGGGCATGCTGTCAAATCAGTAAAAGCAAAAACAAAATACATGTAAGGCGAAGGAGAGAAGAAGAAATCAGCTGATTGGACAACACCACCTTGTATAAATTCGCCTTGGAACATATTGACGCGACAAAGAGAGCGACAAGAAATCTCCGGATAATAGCGAAGAAAGAGAAAAGAAACGTCAACACATGGTCAGTGTTGCCGTTTTGATCCATAAGACTTTTATGATTTTGTGGCCACTCATTAAGTTGTTGAATTCATTACGGAAAAAACGCGCTCAACAAAGCATGTGAGTGCGGCAAGGATAATAATAGGTGCGTTCGTTTAAAACCTCCAGCAGAAACCAACCAACTGCCAAATTTCGGCGAAATGTCATCTGTTCTCTCACAAGAGAGAAATATCCAAAATAGTACAGAAAATTTGCAGATACTTGCAAGTAAAGCAGTGTTTGCATTATTCAACTTTGCGTTCAACAATTGCGTTAAACTCAACGCAGGGTTGCACGAAAAAAAAGTTGAATGGCTAAATGTTGGCTGGCGACCAACTTTGTTGAAAGCGATTAGTTGAAAGGCCATTCAACCAAAAGTTGAATGCAAAGCGAATATTTTGATATTTTTTCATATTTTGATATTTTTAGCCATTCAACTGTTTTTTCGTGCAACCCTGCGCCGAGTTGAACGCAAAGTTGAACAATGCAAACACACTTTTAGACGAACAGCTGATATAATTTTTGTTTACATTCAAAAGTGTAAAATTTAAAACGTACGAAAAGCCATCACAAAGTGTTATACTGACACAGTTTATTGATTAAACAAATAACTACTTACTTCTTACAAGTTTAATTAGTCGCATTTTGTAATTTTTAACTTCCAAACCATCAAATTCAATTTTGCGATTTGCGTAAATGCCAACCAGCTGTTTTTGATCAGCTGTTTTCCTGTTGGCAAATTGCTGTTGGCAATAATTTTTCCAGCAGAAACCATCAGCTTCCCCTCAAAATGAAATGTCATTTTGCTCTCTCAATTTCCCCTACTTTGCAAGTTTTTTGCGTACGCGAACGCAAAAACTTGTAAGTTTTGGTTAAACATGAACAATTAACAGCTACGCGAACGAACCTAATGTGAATTTACATACTTATATTTCCAAACATTTTATTACCTGTTGCGCTTTTCACTCCGTAAGCAATTATCCAAAATTTTCAGAGTCGGATGGAATGGTTAGAAAAGTTATTCCATGGGAAAGTTAAAAGACTTAAATATCCAGTTTCCGCTGCTTTTCTTTCCTTCAAAGTCAAATAGTGAATTGGCAGGTCCCTGAAACTCGCCCTCTTGTGATACACACACTTTTCGGGTAACAAAATCAAAGCTTTTTTAAAAGTATTGGGTTGACTTCGCGAGAGTGCACCGCGCTTTGAACAAAATTACTTTATGGGGGATGTAGAGGGGGTCGAACACATCACAAAACTGAAAACCAGACGGCGAGGAAACTCATAGTTTACGAGAATTTTGCTGTTAAAGTTGAAAATTTCACCTAACAAAATGTACGATAACAAACCATTTCAAACAAATACAAGTGTGCAGAAAACACATATTCCAACTAAGTTAAGCTCTTTGAACGTTTATCTATTTTATATTTTATTAATTTCGTTATTTAACGATGAGGAACGCGTTTATAAATTTGTTTACTTTTCTTTAGAGAACTCAACCAGTATGCAAGTGCAAGTATGGACAATTACCGAAACGAAGATGGCCGCATCAAGAATGATAGAAAATGAAGCTATACCGTGTGGCCGCATGTGTGATTAAGTGTTGCCAGAACCATGAACCAAAAGTACAAGATCACGTAAGAACGCGACGTTGTATTTGTAACTGGTTTTGAGAAAAAAGTTTGCGAAAGCGGGTTCGTCAGCTGAGCGTTTGTTTACATCACAAGCACCACTATTTTACACTTTTATTAATGTAAAGAAGAGTTAATTCAACATGACAACACATTTTAAAGCATTTTGTTGCATCATTTTACCTAAATTGTGCGTTTAAGTGACTGACAATAATTTTGGCTAATTTTGGTTTTCGTTGTTTTCTTTGCTTTGTTTACTTTTCGCTCGTTCTCTAGTAAAACAAGATGAAGTAGAACCCGCTAAAAAATCGACTTTTTTCACTCTCTTGTTCTGACGTCATCTTGTCAAGAATGATAGAATACAAGATTGCGCCGATTGCAGCAGAATTCATGAGAGTAATTTTAGCGTGACGTCATCGTAGAGTTGACAACTGAGAGTGGCGAGAATGAGGGCGACTAGTGATGTGCTGAATTGTCCCCAATACTTAAAAAAGATTTCGGTACCCTATACTTCCTTTTCGGTATCCGATACCGATTATTTACATTAAACCCTCGCCATTATATGCATTTCAGGTTTAGAAAAAACTTTCTTTACTAATTTATATGATATAGGCTAAAACACTTGAACTTATCGCCACAGAAAAATATTATTTTATCAGTTTTAACCTTAGTCGATCCAAGGTTCAAGAAAAATACTTTGGCGGATGAAGAAGCCTTTCAGGGGAGAGATTCTGTAGCCAGTTAGCGACAAGTTTCGGATCGATATCGCACTTGTTGACTTACAAATATTTGATATCAAACGTCGACAAAACCGATAACGATTCGAAAATTGTCGTTAACTGGTTACAGAATCTGTCCCAGGGCTACAAAGATGATATCGTCCGATTCAGCTGGAACAAAAATGCTTCAAACAAGTAAGGGTTTCTCTGTATTATGGCATCGAACCGACATATATACATCTTTCATTTGAATCAGTAAAAAAGCTCTATTGGCTCTTACATTCGGGTTTTGTTAGGCGTTTTTTCCATATTTTTGGCCTATGTGCGCTTTTATTCGAAACCTAAATGTTTCGGTACCGAGTATCGAGAGTATTGGGTACTTAAAAGTATTGACTCAGCACATCACTACTGCTGTCTCTTCTACTATGACGTCACCAAAACAGCTGATTCTGTCAAAATCACTGAGAGCCGAGTAGCGGTATCGTCATCGGCGCCACCTCTGTATTCTCTCCACCGTGTCATCTTGTGTATTTCGTTCATGGCCAGAACACTTTTCAAAATAGGAGCGTTCCTTATCTCCCAGAAATAGTCAGAAAAAGTCCGAAGTAGTCAGATTTAGTCCAAAAAGCGTTTCTTAACTCGGAAATGACAGCAAAAATGAGAGAGCAACAGTCAGTGAGAGTGACTCTCATCAGTCCGAAGTAGTCAGATTTAGTCAGAAGAATTTTTTCTGGCAAAATCATGAAAAGTATCAAACTCAACTGAATTTAATTAACGGAAATTAAAGAAAGCGAAAAAAGTGAGAATAATCTAAAAAGTAAAAGAAATGAATTGAAATTGGAAGGAGGCAAAAAATAATTGACATAGTAAGTGTTTATTGTGCTTGTGCTCGTGTGAATGTGTTTTGAACATACATTTCTGTTCTTATTTGACGTTAGTTTTGTTGTTGCCATTCTTTGGACTAAAAATTTGGTTTTTTGCGTTCCTTTACTTTTCCTGTTATTCTCTTTTAGTGAGCGCATTTTGCTTACGCTCTGGCATTTTGACAATTTTCAGATTTTAGTCCAAAAAGATAAGGAATGAACCTAATGTGTTGCCGGAGGTTCAAGCCAAGGCGAATTTATATAAGGTGATAGCAGGAGTACAAAAACTTACATGTATTTTGTTTTTGCTTTGGCGGCATAAACTGTCAAAATCTGTAAGAGTGTGTGTGGAAATTCAAACAAAATTTTTAAATTTGACATAAGAAGCCGTGAGGCGAAACACATACACAAAATCAGCTGATCTAGTAACACCACCTTAATAAATTCGCCTTGGTTCAAGCGTAAGAATATTATAAAGGCGAATATGATAAGTGGTAATTTATTATGTGTTCAATAGCAATTATGAATATTATGTACGACCCCCTCTACCCTCCCAAAAAAATCATTTTGTTCAAAGCGTGGTGCACTCTGGCGAAGTTTCCCCAAAGTATTTAATTGACTAGGTAATCGTTTCAAAAGTTCTTCGATTAGGGTGATCAAATATTTATGACAGTCTTTTAATATGCTTCCTAAGTCAAGTTTATCACGCAGTTCATTAAGTTCTGTAAAATTATCGTGGAAAACTATGTTTTGTATATTTTTTTAATTGGAAAATATTGATTTGAAGGGAAAAAAGCGCCAATAGCGATTCCCAAAACGTTTATGCGCAAATAGCCAAAAAAATCGCCATTTTTGCGCGAAATTGGCAAGTCTGGACACTCTGGCGTAGAATGAAGAAAAACCTCAGCCAGAGTTTACAACGTCAATTCTGCTTTTGTTTCTTGGTAGAGGTCGCCCAACATCTCTCACCTTTTGAACACTAGATGTCGCTGGGAGAGTATTTCCTTTTTGCTTGGATGAAAATTCCCGGTGAAGAAAAAATAGCAAACTTCCATTCAGTTTTGCAGAAAATCCCGTCGCGTTTGGTCTTGTAGGTTGAAGAAATTAAATTAAAGCTGGCAAAGATGGTGATGAAAACAAAAAAGTCGGTAAAATAAAGTGGAAATAATCGAAAAAAAAACAATTGTTAAAAGTGAAAACAAGTGAAAAAACGGATAAAATTAAAACAGAAAGTGAACTGCAAATTTATAAGTTTGAAGTATCAAAATCCGCACCTATTGAAAACTGCCCCGCTGCCTATAGGTACTTAGCTGCTCAGTGGTAGAGGTGTGCTGCAGTGAGGAATTTCTGGGACGGAAGAGCGGCGTCATATCTGACGGAGTCGTAACAAAATGTCGGACGGCAGCCCAGTGCGTGCGCGACAAAATTGCTGTCGCCTCTGCTTGGCTCCCGGCAGTGAGTGCATATCCATATTGAATAGCTATGCGGCTGACAAGGAACCGTTGGCTACTAAGATACAGAACTGCGTCAGCATCACGGTGAGTACATCGCATTTGACTGCATATATATATACACGTACACATAAATGAACAGAAAAGTATGTGACCCAATCAATCATTGATCGAGTTGGCTGGGTCACATCTAGGTGTTTATGTACATTTTTTCCATAAAGGTATATTGGCTGGTAAATATAATAACTAATACCATTAAGAAGTCTGCTTAAAGATGTGATATCAATCATAAAATTGCATTGGAATAAGTTGAAAATGATATTGAGGTTAGGATGAGTGGCAATCAACTACAATGATTGCGACTGATTGTGCAAGTTTGCGTCCGTGCTCCCACATGTCATACCACGCCATGCGGAATTGCCAAGTCACCATATTGGTTAATGGCGTTTGTTGGTTAGTTGCTGGCTGATGTGGCGTTGCCAGCCCGTGAGCTCTGAGCAAGCAATCAATGATTCGGTTTGGCCTGCTATACATATATGCGCGCGCTCTCTTCCGCTACCGCTCAGCGCCTCCTCGGTTGTGACATGACTTAGCTGGCATGCTACGGCGTATTATAATGTTATGGCGTTGTGTGGAATCGATTCCATTTCGGATCCGGATTCACAGCACTCACATCGTTATCGCAATCGCGTTGACTCACAAAGACTTGTGGTTGGTTGGTTGCTTAGTTGGCTGTTGTTGACTGTATAGCTGAGTGGCTGAATGGTGGTTCACTGTGTGTGGATGTAGTTCTAGCTGTGGCTCCGCGCTGTGTGCGACTTCGAGGCGTATTCGGTCGGCGGCTACGAGCGCTGCTATAGCTATAATGATTGCTGCATTCATCGAGGCAGTCGTCAGCCTGAGTTTCGCCAGATTCGTTGTTTCGACGACTCGTTGCCTGGTGCTGTTGCTAATTGCCCAACGAAAAAAACTTGCCACCATTTTCTCGACAAGAACCGGATGGATGAGCAGCTGGAGCAGCTGTTTATTGAAATAGATTTGCTTTTGTTTCGCAAATTCCTAATCGATTCCACTGTCAATGGCACGCATGGTTGCGTAAACCTTTTTTGGCTTGTGGGAAGGTTCTTAAAATACATAAAATACACAAATAAAGTATGTACTACTTGTTTGCTAAATTGATAAGTGATAACATGTGCTGAGGTGGCTAGCCCTGGGTAGTAGTAAGGTAAGTATATTTATGTTTTTTGACAAAAATATTTTTTTTTGCTAAAAGGAACAAATTATTTCTGCCCCATCTCCCCCAGCACGTACAACGCACATACATATATACATACCTAGAAATATTTAGTCAAGCCGATCAGACGAGGATGCGACCTGCGTTTTACTATAGAAACATTACAACAACAAAGCCGGTAATAGCTACATGCACAAGAGTGCACAGCGCAGAACACGAAAACGGGAGGAACAAAATACAAACAACGAAGGTGTGGGTAAAGTAAATAGGAAAGAAATATTATTTCCATTAAAACTGCATATGTGCATAAAAGAAAAAAAGAAAATAGAGAAACGAAAACAACTTGGAGATCGCTAATTTGGAAGTCGTGGAATATATACACAGATGATTGCTCCTGATAAACACTGAATAACCGTACGTGAAGCTACGGTTCCATCACTAGCTAGCTGGACCGCCACCATTGACAGTCATTAAAAAGGTAGCTGATGGCCGTCTGGCAATGATTACTTCGCTGTCTCTTTCTGGCCAGCGTCCGGCGCGCATGGTAGAAGTGCCTCAAGTATATAATAGTTGCCATTTCCTTTGCAGACGTACTGTGCTGTGCTGGGAATTGGCGGCACCCATGGTTGTATTGAATGCACGGAAATCGTGGTGGCTTCGTGGTTGTTGGCAATTGCGTTCGTTCCGTAGCTGTTATCGTCGTTGCTGTATATCGATTTGCTCACCATCTTGGTACTTTACTTTGTGTTTCAAATGAATTCATGCTGATAACCTGTGCAATTTGAGAGTCCATATAAAATAATTAACGTTGGTATTTATTTGCAGCTGTTGTACATACCATGTGAATATGTATGTATGTTCGTCGCTAGTTGGAATTCAACAACTACATAAGTAGCTACTGGCTAAAAGAATCGAGAGCTAGAGCGTTGGGTACAAGTTAAAATCATCAAAGCAACAGCACTACCTAGTGGAGTAACCAAGCAGTTTCACCTTGGGAGTTGCATAACATGTTTGAGCAGCTGCCAACTGCTACGATTATTAAGCACGATTAAGTTTGGACTGTTGATGAAATCATTTTTAGGTTATGTGTTCCATAGTCACAAGTTGGTGTTTTTCACTCCATTTTCGTATTGCTCGTTTGGGCAGGTAGTTGTTTCATGTTGCAGTATTTTACAAATATATAATACATATCGTACGCAAATTTTGAAGCCGTTTTTATCGAGTTTTTGATATTTTGGATTAATACTTTTGCAGTGACAGCCTTCCATCTCCATCAATTCTGGTTTTTAGTTTTGCACATACAAATGTACATATGTATGTATGTATATGTGTATATGCTGTGTCTTACATAAATGTTTAATTTACTATTACTGTCTAATTACCAACTATGTATCATTATTACTTTACAGGCAGTAAATGTTTAATTATGGGGCGCCTGACCTTGGTACGTCCCAAAGTCGCACGTATTATAGCTAACATCTCATTCCATCCCTAGTGTATATAATGGACACTATGCATAAAAGTATATAGCAACTCTGTTGGCAGATAGTGATTATCCAGTCACTAATGATTCCATCCAGTGAATACGATATTCAATCGCTTTACACAACACTTCACTGTACGCTTTTAATTTCTCTTTCATCGCTTTTTTGTTTGGACATACTGTATCGGTTGCGATTTTGCGACTGGATAGTGGAGCTCTGTCTAATTCTCAGATTTGCTCAGAATCTCACCCCGGTAATATTTTTTTAATTTCCTTGAAATTCTTAAACATTCGTCGACATTTTTTTTGGCTTAGCTCGCTAGTCGACCGACTAATTTCAGACCGTTTACGGGGTTTGCAGCCGTACCCTGCAAAAATCGTTGGACCATGTAGTCTATTTGTGGTAAATTGGAGTACTTACAAAAGTGTTCCTCTGTCATGCTGTAGCGGACCAACTCGTGTCTCTGCGCCAGCTTATTGTTTGTTATCCGATCACTGCTCGTGTTTTAAAGAAACGTGATTGAAGTTAAGCATTTGAAAGCACATTTGCATGTCTGGCTGTAGCTGAACGTGTAGAGATGCTCGCTGTTAGTTCTTAGCTCCCAGCATGTTCGGGTTCGAATGCCTCTGACAACATGTAATTTTTAATTTTTGTCTTGGTTTTTATTAATTTCGTAAAATCATTTGAGAAGTGAAGAACAAAAGCGTGTATAAACGAAAAAATATAACAACAATGCCATTGTTAATATGTTGGAGTAGTTTTGTGCTACTCTGATGTAATGCAGGGATGGAGTATATGGTCCTGCCCTAGGACATCGCAATGTTAATTGGACCATATTTTTTATATGAATTGTGGTTAATTTTGGAGTACTCCTTGGTCCTTAGGGAGTACTCTTTACACGCATGCATGGAGTAGTCGCGATTTTTGCAGGGTAATGTTTGATTGGAACCGTTACCACGTCAGCGGCTTCATGAACTCACCCTCTTAACGCTAGTTGTGACGTCGTCATCGTTTTTAGTTGTCTGTTGATTTTTGCTTATTGTGCTCATTAGTTAGTTGTACTGAAGCACATGCTCTTATGTGTGTGCATAGAATCGAGCTAGATCGTTGCTTATGTGGTTAACATGTGCTATGGAACTTTGGCAGAATGGCTTGCTGGCATTTGATTCACGTGGTTAATTTTGAATAAAATGGAGAAAACACACATGTGTATGCAAATATAAAAAAATTATCAAGCACTACTGCTAAAGCGAAAGTCTTTTACCAGAAATTCGTTCCCCCGGCGGTCGGGTCTACGTAACCGCAAGGACCCAGATTTATATCTGGCCAAGGACTATCACTCCAGCAACACTCCCCAAAAAACTCTTTTTGGAATTTGTATGCTGTTACAACATCAACTAGAACTAATTCTGGGTCTATCTGTTAGCCTACATTCAATTATCGTATATTATATTGTTAACAATTTAAAACACCAAATTCCCAAAAATTATTTTGTTTTTTATTGTTTGCCGTAATATAAAACTTATTGCTGAATAAAGTGCTCAAAGCCTGAAAAGCGGTGGACACCTGAAAAGCATTTAATGGACTTCCGCTCCAAATTCAGACATCGCGCCATTAAGGAAAACTTATTTAGGTGCTGTCCAAAGCGCCTTTGAAATCGACAAGTATATGGTGTGTCGAAATTAACTTCGCCGGTCTTTTCCAATATTTGGAATATCTCGTCTATGATGGATTTGCCAGGTCTAAAGCTACACAGATAAGGTCCAAAAGGTTCGTTGACCTTGTAACTTATTCTTAGAAGGCTGATTCCGCGGTAGTTGGCGCGAATGGCGGGGTCGCTTTTCTCGTGGATTGAGCAGAGGACACTTAAATTCCAGTCGCCGGGCAAGCAAAT